CAAATTCAATTGTAGAGTTTGTAAGAAAATATAACTTAGATGGAATTGGTCTTGAAGATCTTGAAAATTTGTTTTATATTACAGGAAGATCAACACGTGATGTGCGTTTAGTTCTTAGAAGAATTGGAATAGAATTACATAAAATTAACAAGAAAGTATATGTCATTATTCCTGTTTGTTTATTGTTTATTATTTTATTACATGTTATTAAGTAATTATAGCCAAGAAGTGTTGCCATAAGTGGTACAATAATTAATTCTTTAAAAAAGTATATTGATGAATTCATTATAGACACAACAGACTATTACAGTAAAAGTCTTCATTCATCTCATTGTTCATCTCCATTGATGTACATTGAAAATCTTATCAAAGATTATACTTCTAAGAATGAAAACCTTAAAAGTATGACATCTATTTCTATTGACTTATCTGGATATAAGTTCTGTCTAAACCAACCTCGTTCTTCAATTAATGTTACATCCTTCCAAACTATGCTTCATAATACTACTAATTCAACTTGGATAGAAGAATGTCAAGAACATAGTTTTACAGATTCAAATAATTGTGAAATTATGTTTCCTACTATTGAATATATTGAGAAAAGAATAAACTTAGCAATTCAAGAAGGTATAGATATTACTTTATGTCATATAGAAGCAGCACATCCTAATGTCTTTGAACTTTTTTAATGAAATCTTTAATTTTTTTTTTGATGTTTATTAAAAATGATTGAAATAAAATATTAAATTAGATAAAAGTAATAGAACAAAGCAATAAAATAAATTTATTTAAAAGTGTTCAATACATTTGCATTGAATGAAGTACATTAATCTTTGTTTTAGAGTAAAAAGATTTAATAACATGATCAATATTATTCATCCAGTCTGAATCACTTTCCATCAATTTTAAAAATTCAGAAACTTCAATAGCACCTTTTTCTGCAGTGTCTAATTGATCCATAACAGTTAAATTAAATACATAACATAATGACCCTGTTGATGACTCTCGAGAGTCAAAATATTCTAAAACATCCATAAATACAGAATAGTCTAATGTAATAATTATATTAAACTCTTTCTTACAATCTTGAAATTTCTCAGGAGCACTTTTAAGGTTTGCATTTCTATCAAGCATTTGATATATTTTATTTTTTCTATAATACTCAACTGATGCCTCGTCTTTTGGTAATGAATTTTTAATGTCTTTATAAGGAATACCAAATTGAAACCCAAAATTTCTTGTTGCTCCAGGTAATATTGTATATACACCTGTTCCAAAAGAAGAAACATTATATCCTAATTGTTTTAAACGGCAATGAGCTGAAATGCTTCTGTTTTGATTAGACCTACAAATAACAGCAATCGATTCACTAAAATGGTTAGTTTTAGGTTGAAAAATATCCATTACCTATTTTTAAATTTTATTTGTTTTCTTTTTAAGTTTAATTTTTTTTGTTATTTCAAAGTTTTTAATTTTTTCTTTATTATCTAAACATTTCATTTAAATTTCAGGTAATGAAAATATCGTATTTTTTGAAGAGAAGAAAATTATTTAATCACTCTATGTCTCTTGATTATTTTAAAATTAAAAAATATTATTAAAAAATAACAGAATATTATTATTGTTTGATTTGGGTGATTAAGACATCTATTTCTTCTTTTTTAAAAGTAAGTACATTCCTTTTAATAAAATTTTTATTCAATGTATTTTTGAGTAATTCTTACTATTTTCATAATTGTTGAATTTTAATCTATTTTTATTATTCATTAAAAATTTTAATTTAAAAGAGTTTGAGTTATTTCTTTAAATTACAACATTGTTGATTTAATTTTACAATAAAATAATAAGTAACTCATTAAGTGTTAATAGAAATAGTTTCTATTCTCCATTATGCAGTTGAAACAATTCTCATTCATTTCATCTTCTTCTAGCATTTCTACAGAATATGTTTGGTTGTGATTGAAGCAGTGTTCCATGACATCCATCATGTTTTTTATTACAAGGTTTTTAATTTCTTTTTCGATGTCAATTTCAATTTTTAATTCTTTAATTAATTTAATACTTTCTTTATTCACTAAATCCGTTTATTGAGATTACTACTGGAATTATTTTGTCATCTTTTAATTTCTCTATTTTCATTAGCCTATTCTTTAATTCCTTATACTTATTTCTTTTCTTCAAATAGGCTCAATTAATATTGTGATATTCAACATTAGTTTTATCAAATAATAGACCAGTTTTATTCTTTTTATCTAATACATATATATCTGGTCTTTTGTGATATAGTCCATCACTTTTATGTATTATTTGTATGTTCCATATCATTGTGATGTCTTTATATTGGAACACTGTTTCATATGGGGATTTTAAATAATAAATACTAACTATAAAAGATTATAAATTATTAATAAATGTTTAATGATTAAATAACTGTCATAATGAATAATACTTTCATTTTATTTTTAAGCTAATTCATTAGCTCTTTAATTAACCAAAATGATAAGTTCTAATTTTAAATCATGAAACTTACATACAACAAAATTATAGATAGTGTTCTATAATTCTTTATAACTGTAATAACAATGTAGTTATAAAAAGTGGTTGTGTTAGTATCTTTTCAAATGCATTTTGACTAACTCTTTAAAAAGATTTATGTCTTTAGTCTAGTTAATTACAAATTAATAGAAATTATTTGGATATATTTAACATATACAACATTTATTATTTCAATAATCTTCTTCTTTGAGTTTATGCAAAATGACCTTTTACTTTATTTTGGTTTATTATTCAAAAGTAACTTAGGTATTATTTTTGTCTTAAGAAGTTAAGAACAAAATTGAAAGATTAAAGATTTTAAAAAGAAAAACAAGACTAGTTAAGAAATATTTACAGTTAGATTCTATGTAGAATAATAAACCCTTATCACATTCTATCCAAGACACTATGTTTTATTTTAACAATAATTTGCCCTATGAGAGAGTTTTGAAAAGTAGAGATATAGAAAGGTAATAATACTCTTTATTTTTATCAAAATCAAAGGATTTAAATCTAGGGTTTAGATTATTTCTCTTTAACGAAGGATATGTCGTTATCATCAATATTCATTGGATCGGTTATAAAAACAATTGATGATATTCCTACACTCAAGCGATTAATTTTTGTAAATAAAAAAGTAAAACAAGTTATGAAAGTTTTACACGAAAGTCCATTTAAAATAACAAGCCTAAAACTACTTCAACAGGTATTATTCTTGTTTGATAATTTATCTTCAATCACAATAGATGCTTCTTTGATTTGTCTTAAAGAAGAAATTTATAAAATATTTAACAAAATTCAAATAAATTTTCAAACTTTTAAAAGCATCCATTTGTTTAACTTACAAGAAGGACAACATTTTAGTGATGAGATTACCCAGAGTGTTCATGAAATACATTTAAATGAAAATTATTCTCAATTATATAACTTTAAGAATCTAGTTAAACTAAAAACAACAGTTTCTATTTGTTTTAAAGTATTAGATCAATTTATTGAATATGGAAATCCTTCAATACAATTTATTCTTGATGAATGTAATGTAGATAGTGTTTTTTTATTAAATACTATTATTGATACTTTAAAATATGAAAAACTTACTGCCATTTTTGATATTCTTAATAAACCAACATATAGATCTATTCATACAAATGATAAAATCCTTATTGTAATGAAATCAATTGATAGTTATTCTCCTCAACTATCAGATAATTGTATTTTTTATTCAAAAGTTCCTATTCAATCAACTTCTTTTATTCCTCATTCTTATTATATTTCTCAATGGGTTTACTGTAGAGATGCTCACTCTCTTCCATCGTCTTATTCTTCTGTTATTTTAAAAGAACCATTAACTCAATCTCTTACTTCTTTTAACCAACTGTTTAGAATAAAGATTACTGATTCTACAATTAATAATCGTTGGTTACCATCATTTCTTATAGAAATTGAATTAACTCGATGTAAGTTTGAGTCAAGACTAATTCAATTCTCAACCTTTAAGTCATTACACTCCTTAGTTTTAGATAGCTGTAATATTACTGGTATACTTTTACCTCCAAAAATCAAAGAATTAACTATCCAACATTGCCATTCTCTTCTTTCATTTCCACCACTATCATCTCTTATTAATTTAAGACTATTCAAATTCTTAGATAATGGACCATTTATAGAATTAGACATTCCCTCCTCACTCGTTAATACCTCTTGTTAATTTATTGACTTAAAAAAAAATGGAACATAAAATTATTTAATTAAGCGTAATTATAAATTTGTTATAAGTACAACAAACATTTCCTTCACTTAATGGAATTAATTCTGCTTTTAACTGATATTTTTGAATAGCGTCATAATATTCTTTTTCACAATTAAGATATCGAAGAACATTGTTTACAATTAAGCATTTTCCATTCTTTTTTAATAAAAATGAAATTGTTTTCATTAAAGGATCAACTAATTCTTTTGTATAAAATATTTCAGAACCTATTATATAATCATACTTTTCACTTAATAAATCAACATTAAACCAATCTAATTTTATTGATTGAACATTAGGAATAACATCTTTGTTAAGTTCAATATTGTCTTGTTCCAGTTGAAGGATATCATCTAAATAATCACTTATGACTATTTCTTTTGCCCCTTTACAACAGAATGAAGCATAACCAACTCCAGCACCAACTTCAAGAATTCTTTTACCTTCAACAAATTCATTGCACATAAAATTTCCTAAAATTTCTTCTCCTTCCCATAACATTCTTCCAATACAATCATCAATATTTCTATAATCAGGAGAAAGTGTTTTAATATGAATCATATAATTTTCATTTTTTCTATGAACTTCTTTATCAATTATTTTGTAATCATTTATATAAAAAAGATTACTCATACCTTCTCCTTCATAACTCATTTTAATTAAAGATTTAATAGATTTTTACTTTAAAAAAAAAATAGACAAGAGTTGTATCAATTATTTTATTATTAGTGTTTATACGATGTTAATACTTCAACAAAACGTGGTGCCTCATTAGTAAACATAAAATAAGTTTTTTCTTTTACTTTCATACCAATAGAGCCACTATCAATCATTATACAATTTGTAATATCAACATATTGAATTTCTGTCTTTGTTTTACCATTGTCCTCAACAATAGTTAATACTTCTGGTGTCATAATCAATGTCTTTTCTACCATAGTATTACCTTCAACAACATGTCTAACAGGGAAAATATCAACCATTAGATTTTTCTTGTTTGTAGTTTCTTTTTTGAACGACTCAAACTAATTTTGACTTGAATAATAAAAATAATAAGGGTTAGGTCATTTTTAATATATAACAATTCTATTTAATTAAAAATTCCGTTATTGTATTATAATAACTTCTTCTCTTTTTATTATTTATTTATTTGAAAATTTAAAAGGTAATGAGTAGTGTTAATTAAATTCACATATCTTAATACAAAATCATAGAATTTTATTTAACCTTATTACATCATTAAATTTATTTAGAAATTATTGAAATATTCTTATTTTAGGCATTTGTAATGATAATTAAGAAGAACTAATTCCACTTTAAACAAGGATTATGTATTTAACAAGAAACAAAGACTATGATTAAAAATAAACTATTTATAATTCATAAAAACCATTCACTTGATAAAATAACAACTTCAAGATAAAGTATTCTAAGCGAGAACAACTTCATTTTATTTAAATTTAATTTATATACTTGTTTTTTTGTTAAATTCTGTAAAACAATTTTATTTTTATTTGTATTAATAAAGTTTTATAAACTCACAACAAGAAACAGTGTTTATTTCAATAATTTATGTATTATCACTTCTATTTAAAGTCATTCTATACAATTTGTTCTATAATTCATTTAAAGAAATAAATCTTTCATTTTTTATTTTAACAAATACCATATCATAAAAAGTAATTTATAACTAAATAATTCAAAATAATGTTTTTAGTATCACTTTTGTGTCATTTCTTCGTTTGAAATCTTTATAATTCTTATACATTGAAGATTTTTATGAAATTTTGATGTATTTTTTAATAAATACATTCTTTTTTTTATGACTTTATTTAGAATAGAATTTAATTATTGTCGGTTCACTGAAAACAAGAATCAATTAAATTATTATTCTAAGAAAATAAATCCAATCAAAAACAAATTTTACTCTATGGCAATTATTCATTCTTTGTAATATTAATTTATCTTTCTTTTACCTCACAACATTTTTTATCCATTTCTCATGACAAATAATATTTGTCATAATCCACTAAAACTACTATGTTATTTTGGTGGTTTCAATTTCTTTCTCTTTTAATTCTTTTATCAATAAGTCAATTTGTAATCTTTTTAAATATTT